CTATGTATTTCATAAGCTTTGAGGAAACGGCAGCTGGATGGCCCATGGATGGCCACAGCAAGAACGTGTGCATGCTGTGATTTCTAGCTCTTATAGCTGAGAAGATGCAATTGGAACTATGTGAGCAAATCTGAGAAGCTACAGAGGTGCCTGAATAAGGTTATCAACAGCTGGAGTATGGCTTTAGAATCCTCGCCCAATTGGTGACTGATAAAGATAGAATACATTATACTCAAAAGAGGAATGATGCAAAATTTATGCATGTTACAGAAATCAGGTTAGCTTGGTGCCAAATATGGGTTGCCTGGCATAGAATTTTTAAAAAAGAGAAAAGAAAGAACCAAATAGAGACCACAAGGAGCCCAGGTGTCAATGCTGATCCTAGTTTTATTCCCTGATGCATCCCTCGTTCAAAAGAGCAGGGAAGTAAGCATACCCATCTACACGCTCATGTTCTTCACAGCTAACCTCCTCCCTTCTTTCACAGTGCCATCCTACGTAGTGGTGCACCTGGCTAAGCCCAGTGACTTCAATGGACTCAGAAAGCCGTACCTCTGCTTAGGACTGCACTGTCATGGGCTTACTCTGCAGAACATCGGTCCTATTTCACAGCAAAACTGATAGTGCTTAAGAGAAACCCAAAGGCAACCTCTTTTTGGTGGTCTGTCGCTATTCTATTTCCAGACAAACCAGGTGGGTCATCCTACTGCTTCCAGGTTTCTCTTTATGAAAAAACCCAAAAAGGCAAATCTGAATTGCAGACGTACATATCAGCTTGCCGGCTGAGCCACTGTTGGCAGGCACTGCTGTCCTGAATGTACTGGAGGACTTCGGAAAGCATGGTGCGCTTCATACGCTCCTCTTCCCGGGTCTTCTTGAGGCGGTCATATGTTCTTGCACCTGCAGCCAACAAAGTACATGTTGCAGCTGACTTACTTGGGACATAATCTTTCTAGCATATTGCCCCCCCCGACTTTGTCCCAGTGTGACTTCACAAATCAAGAAAAAAAACCAGGTTGCTTACCTGTAACTGATGATCTTCAAGTGGTCACCTGTGCAGTCACATATTTGGGTTCAGGGCCTGCCCATGAACCTGACCTCAGAGATCTAAAAGAGCTAGCCTCAGAGTTTTAGTGTGCTTTTTCCTCTGCTCTGGGGAGCAGGCCGCTACTGAGCATGCCTGGAGCTGCAGAGAAAACCCCACCTTCACTCAAGTTTCTTTTAGCAACCACTAGCAAGGCCATCCAAAGATAAGTAGATGGAAAAACCAGCAATGGGGAAGGCTGGGCAGGTATGTGTGACTGCACAGGTGACACCTCGAAGATCAACAGTTACAGGTAAGCAACCTGTTTATCTTCTTTGTGGTCCCTGTGAAGTTTCACACTTGGGTGAGTAGCAAGCTAAATATCTAGGAAGGAGGGTGCTGGCAAGACAGAACATGAAAACCAACACTCAAGGAACATTTAATTTAACCACCAATGTTGTTACTTTTACAGGCTCACCTGACATCCCACAACAGGACCTCAATGGAAGACTGACTTCAACACCAAATGCCAAAGGATACATCTCTCCATGCTCGAATATTGAGGACATAGTGCGTCATGAACATGCAGGGAGTAGACCACATCACCACAGCACAGACATCTTCCAGAGGCACACCACTGAGGAAAGCTGAAGATGTGGCTACAGCTCTGGTGGAATGAACATGAAGTAACTCAGGTAAATGCTCCTCAGCGAGCTTATAGCAGAGTGCAATGGTCGAAGTCACCCATTTTGCAAAACCTTGCGAGGTGATCCTGTCACCTTTGTGAGGGTTACCATAGGCCACGAACAGCTGAGGGTCCTTATGGAACGGGCAAGTCCTGTCTAAGTAGAAAGAAAGTGCCTGGCAAACATGGAACCCACTGAACTTTGTCAGAAGGGGTCACACAGAAGGTTGGCAAAGTTGTTGGTTGAGAAAGGTGTAACGACAAACTGTTTTAGGTAAGACAGAAAGGTCTTGTCGAAGGATGACTTTATCCCTGTGAAAGATGGTATAGGGTGGGTCAGAGCGAAACGCATAAATGTCACTTGCCTGTTTAGTGGAAGTAATCGCAACAAGGAAAGCTGTCTTCCATAACAGAGGGTAGAGAGGTACAGTTCTCAAAGGTTTAAAAGGCCTCCCCATCAACTTGGAAAGTAACCAGTGCCAAAGGTTTGATGGACAGATGGAGTCGAATCATGCCCTTCAGAAAGGTTCCAAAAGTACAGTAAGAGAAGACAGTCATACCCTCAACAGGGTCATGGAATGCAGAGATAGCAGAGAGGTAGATCTTTAGTGAAGAGTAACTTAAACCGGAATCACTAAGGGAGACCAGGTAAAACAAAATATCGGAGAGAGGTGCAGATTTTGGGTCTAGGTGGTGACATGCACCATAGATGGAAAAATGTATCCACTTAGCCTGTTAGGACTATCTGGTGGTCAGCTTACAGGCATTCAGAAGAATACATTGGACCTCTGGGGGAAATGCTACTGTTCAGTTCTCCAGTCCGTCTATCGGAACAGTCCTGGATCATGATGGAGAACTGCCTCATGGTGTTGAGTAAGAATATCCGGCATCAGTGGGAAATGGATGTGTTGTGAGACAGCTGTAGAAGTCTTGCAAACCACAGTTGGCAAGGCCATTAGGACGTCATCAGAATGCAGTTGGTAGGATCACTGGAGATTTTCTGGATCGTAAAAATGCGTCCACTTAGCCTGTTAGGACTATCTGGTGGTCAGCTTACAGGCATTCAGAAGAATACACTGGACCTCTGGGGGAAATGCTACTGTTCAATTCTCCAGTCTGTCTATCGGAACATTCCTGGATCATGATGGAGAACTGCCCCATGGTGTTGAGTAAGAATAGCCGGCACCAGTGGGAAATGGATGTGTTGTGAGACAGCTGTAGAAGTCTTGCAAACCACAGTTGGCAAGGCCATTAGGACGTCATCAGAATGCAGTTGGTAGGATCACTGGAGATTTTCTGGATCGTCCGAGGGATTAATGGAAACAGTGGGAACATGAAGAACAGCACCCCGCTCCAATGCTGTAAAAAAGGCATCTCCTCGTGATCCTTGCAGTGGAGCGCCCTGACTATAGAAGGTCGGACACTTAGCATTCTGGCTGGTCACAAAGCAATCTACCCGGGGGTGAACGAATGCTTGTAAAACTGGCAACAGGTAGACGGAATTCAGGGACTACTCGTGGTTGTTTGAGCGAGACCTGCTGAGGAAGTCTGCTTGGGTATTTGTCGCACTGGGAACATGCACAGCAGTAAGGTGAATCTCGTTTCTTATACACTAACACCACAGAGTCAGAGTGCATTTGCAAAGCCTGGTGGACACTGTGCCTCCCTGCTTGTTGATGTAATAAACAGTGGCTATGTTGTCCATTGCCACCTGTACATGATGCCTCCACAGACTGAGCAGGAGGAAAAATAGGTTGCTTACCTGTAACTGGTGATCTTCGAGTGGTCATCTGTGCATTCACACCCATGGGATACAGTGTGCCTGCGCTGGATCGATCGGTATTATAGCAAGCTCTAACGGATTTTCGCACCCAGACCTCAGGCATGCGCAGGAACCCCACCACACATGCCTAGAGGGGTGGGCATGGACATCCTGCCAGTTCCTTCAAACCACGAGGATAAGATGTGACGTCCCATGTTGGTACGAGAGTTCTTTCGTACATCTAGGGCGTAGTGTCTTACGAATGTATTAGGCAAAGTCCAGGTAGCGGCTCTGCAAATGTCCATTAAGGGAACTCCCTGGAGGAAGGCAGTTGAGGCTGCAACAGCTTGGGTTGAATGAGCCCTGATAGGGCCAAGCAATGGCTGCTTAGTGATAAGAGAGCAGAGGCGGATGAGACTTACAATCCACCTTGACAAATGCTGATCTCTGATGCGAGTTCACAGCCTTGCTGGTGCATAGGAGACGAATAGTTGACAGTCACGTCTCGTTGGGCGGGTTCTGTTTAGGTAGAACAGAAGCGCACGTTTCGTGTCCAAAGTATGTAACAGCCTCTCCTCTGGGGATGTCGGAGCAGGGAAGAAATCCGGGAGGAAGACCTCTGCCTGTAGGCGAAATTCTGACACTACCTTTGGCAGGAACGAGATGTCAGGTACAAGGCGGATGCCGTCTGGCAAAAATGACAAGTAAGGAGTGTCATGTCTGAAAGCCAGTATTTCTTCAACTCGCCTTGCTGAAGTGACAGCCACCAGAAAGGCTGTTTTCCAGGACAGGAATTTCATGTCGCAAGTTGTTCAAAGGGTTTCCTGGTGAGTTGGCGAAGGACCAGGGGAAGGTCCCAGGGGATGACAGGACTTTTGATGGGAGGGTAAAGGTGTAACAGTCCCTTCAAAAAACATTTAGAAAGGGGATGCGAGAACAGTGTGTATCCTTCAATTTGAACATGGTAGGGTGAAAGTGCAGCCAAATAAACCTTTAATGAAGAATGTGACAGTCCCGAGTCAGTGAGAGACAGGAGGAATTCGAAAACCTTCTCGAGACAAGCGGAGGTGGCTTGAGGGGCATCTTTACCCAAGGAGGAACAAAACCTTAGCCACTTGTAATGATAAGATTTTCATGTAGTGGGCTTTCTGGAGTTTAGCAAGACATTTGCTATGCGGGAGGAAAAGCTGTTGACGCCACTCTCCAGGCTGTCAACTTCATTCATGGCACGTCGTGGTATAGGCGAGGGGACTCGGTTAGGAGCAGAAGGTCTTGTACCGGAGGAAATTGGTGGTAGACCCCCGCTGACAGATCGAGGATGGTTGAGAACCATGGTTGCCTCGGCCACCACAGGGTTATGAGGATGCAGTCCGCTCTGTCGCTGATGATTTTGCGGACCACTCTCAGGGGTAGAGGCAATGGAGGGAAGAGGAAGAGAAATTATCTGGACCACGGGTAGAGGAGACTGTCCCCTAAAGACTGCGGGTCCCTACCACCTTGGCTGCAGAACAGAGGACATTTTCTGTTCGCCCTGGTGGTGAAAACATCTATCTGGGGGAATCCCCACTTGCGGAAGAGTGGAAGAAGGTAAGTCAGATTCATTTCCCACTCGTGCCTGACTCAGGGGGTCCGCCTGCACATTCATGTGCCACGGGATGTGCGTGGTGACTAGGAAGACATTGTGGGCGATGCAGAAGTCCCATAACCGAAGGACGAGGTTGCAGAGGCGTTGGGAAACAGTGCCCCCTTACTTGTTTGCGTAGCTGAGGGCAGTAGCATTGCCCGTGAGGACCGTGACACACTTCCCCTTGATCGGGGCAGGAAACTGGTGATAGCGAACTGTATTGCAAGCAGTTCCAGAAAATTGATGTGCCGGTTCCGTTTCTGTGTATCCCATCTACCTCCGACACAAAGTCCCATCATGTGGGCACCCCAGCCCGAGAGAGAGGCATCTGTAGTCAGGGTAATTTGGGGTGATGGAGGATGGAAGGGTGCTCTCTGGAAAAGGTTGGAAGGGGCGGTCCACCAAAGTAAAGAGTCCCGTACTTTGACAGGCAGGGATAGGTGGGCTGAGTGTGTGTCTCGCTCTGGATTGAAATTGCAGATAAACCAGAGTTGCAGGTGGCGCATTCTTAACTTGGCAAAACCCAGGACTGATGTAGTAGCGGCCATAAGGCCGAGTAGCCTTTGTATTTGGAAGGCCATCACTGAAGGCCGAGTACGCATGACAGTGGCTAGATTGACGATGTCGGCGGCTCTGTTTTGTGGCAAGTAGGATGTTCAATTTGTGGAGTCCAGCAGCGCACCGATGTAGTGTATTTTCCGGACTGGTTGAAGTTGAGACTTCTCCAGATTTACTTGCAGATCCAAGTTTCCCAGAAGGGCTAGTGTCTCGTTGATGTTTGAGACTAGGGCGTCCCTGGAAGTCG